CCAGTTGGAGCACCTCGACGAAAGCCCGGTGAGCCCAGCAAGATCAAGGTTTTGCATTCACACCGGAGCGGCAGGCAGCCCATAGCAGGCTCGCCGTTGTAACCCCAGAGTCGCTTGATGTGCCGAATTGTAGTGCTTCCTCTCCAAGGTGAATATTGTGTAGTATTAAATTATGCGTCTGACAAGACTGTTATTATAGGTCGATATTACATATGTATATGTACTCTAGTATTTCTCCAGTGCGAGAAAAGCGGGATGAGGGAAAACTTCCATCAAAAATATCCAGCGCAAGCCAACCCAATGCTACCATGAATGTCCACCGTGCGAAGAAAAAGAAGAATGAGAAAACAAGATTCAACCTGAGCACCTCTGCCTTCCGTTGAAGGGAGAGGACGAATGCTGAAGGCGCCTGTGCCTCGATGCAGTCCATGTGTGAATCCAAAAGAATCAGGGGCCAAGAAAAGCCACAAACCCCCAAACCAGCGCCCGCTGAGATCATAAAGCCTTCCCTCCTTTTCGTTGTGTAACGTGTTTGCGCCATGCTACTTCATCTAATCGAGGAAGTGCGCAAAATCCCATAGAAGAAAAATAATGAGAAATGGTGTCGTCTAAGTGAGTTAAAGTAATAGTATTCGTAAAATGTGTGCCGTGAGTATAGGGTGAGTTGTTATGCTGGTGTGCTTTGGAAGCAGACGTATATCAGAATTGATTGACAGTGTAATCGGTGTTGGGGAGAGCTTGCTGGATCGAATTCGAGAAAAATGAAGCGGCTGTTTGCCATGTGTATGGTAAGAACCAAGGTAATATATAATGAGGGTATCAAGAACAAAGTATCGAAATGGTTATTAAGAGATAACAGGCTGAGATACAGTCTGTCTCGGGGCCTTGGCTGGATCCAGGCCTATAGGAAGGAGCCGAGCATGAATGCCAAGGCCAGAGTCAATGTGAACACTGACCAGGCCGGGCCGTTAGCAACCGTTCCGCCAGCCTCGGGTGTTGTCTCGTTCACAAAGTTCGGCCCGCAAAGGGTGTTGAATTGGCGAGCCGCGCCGGTGTACGTTCGAGAGAGGCTCTGGCTTGTATCAGCAGATGCTGCGTGCCAAATAGCCATGGTCTCCTTGTTGCACCAGTTGCAAGTGGGCGTCGATGATCCTGGCAGGTTCAACTCATACGGCATCAGATATAAGTATGCATCGGACGGCGCGGAGAGATTAGTGACGGCATTGGCAAAGCAATACATTCCCGAATCAGGATTCTCGAGACAAGTCGCGCTGTACATGGTCTGGTATGCCCTCAGGCCGCGATACGCTTGTACGATAGTCTTTAGGTTGCCCTTGTATTCCGCGGCGCAGTTTTCATCCTTAGTCAGGTTCTTGGCTGCATTCTCCATGAACTTGGTGCAGCCGTTGGTGTCAACATTGCATGATTTGTCGAGCACACGGACAGTGCTCGTGAGCTGTCTCCTGGCATTGAAGAACGATTGGGAGGTCTATTAAAAGGGATCTTGTTAGCACGTGGGTCGTTGAAGTTATACTAGATCTACCCAATTGCCATATTAGACTTACCTCCATCATCATCGAGATCGGCAAGCAGTCCTTGAAGGTCTGGTGGTTCAACAAATCGCTCATGAAGGTAGGGCAAGAGTTATCTTCGTTGGCGAGCTTGAAATCGGTCGGGATCGAGTCGTCGAAGGCTGAGGGCAACGGCGAGTTGCTGGCGACGGTGGTGGATGTCCTGATGGACACCGTGAACGTCGTCATGCTGTCGTCTTTGTCTGTTGTCGCGGTCTTGGTACCGGAAGAGGAATTGTCAGAGCCACTCGCGCTCGTGGTTTTCTTCGCATCGCTGGATGTCTTCGCGCTGGAGCCAGAGCTTGAGCTGGACTGCTTTCCAGAGCTGGAGCTAGTCTCATCCTCGTTCTCAGCTCGACGTTTCAGGTCCCAGCCTTGGTCAGGGACTTGTGCATGCATTGACTGGCGGGCAGTAGGAATCGGAGCTTCCACGACGGGCACGGAAGGTGATGCTGTTGCGAGGGCCGTAGGCTTGACTTGCATGGAGTAAGGATCGACAGCTGCTGCCCATGCAGGGGAGCCGAGGAGTGCGACCATGGCCAGAAGTCGTAGGTAGGGGCGGGTCTGCCACGGACGGCGTCTCAGCGCAGCGGGGTCGGCGGTTGATGCCGCCATGTTGACTGATGGTGAAACAGTTTGAAAATGCTGGCCAAGGGTTAATTGTCAGTTCCTCGGATGAGATCTGCTGTCCCAGATGTTGTCCACATAGATGGCCAGAAAACCCGTGAGGCCGCCTTTGTGGAAATAGGTTGTTGTTGTGATGGTCGAGACCAGCGTAAGCAGCCGCCAAATAGGGGACCAGGCTCCTGGCGACGGTGATGGTCAACTGGTGATCTGAGCCGAGACCACACCAGAGCCAAGGTCAAATGGCGAGGAGGGGGTGGAAACCCGCAATTGGGTCTCCTCTGCTGAGCTTGGCGATTTTGACGATAATTTGCTCTTTCGCTGTCGACAAATTACTCTCGGTCGCGTGTAGCTGAGTAGGGCCGGTAGTTGCTCTCAGAAAGTACCTTCGTAGTGATCGTCGGGACTCCACGAGCCAAGTTGAGTAGTAGCAAATCAAGTGCGTTGGTGATGCTGATCTTCGTTCTGCCGGACTCGAACCTCGAAGACGTTGCACAAACGATCGACAAAGGGTGGGAAGACGAGGTAAGAAGGGCAGAACGTGGGAACGAAGGGCCAAGAAAGAAGATAATGTTCAACTGAAGACGACAAGGAAGAAGTATGGCTGACGGGCTGGAGCACTCGAGGACCTAAGCTTCAGTGCTACGCTCTGGTCGATCCGGGTCGAGAACAGGGCATGCGTGAGCAGGTAAACATGCATGCATACACTACGGAGAAGAGGATGGGACTTTGACCCAAAAGATTGACTTCCTCTGCAGGGCCAAGGGTGTCCAGACAGGCATCTGGGCAGCCAGGAGCATTAAGTAACCAATATGGCCAGGGGGGCCTGGCAGGTCGTACGAGGGCCCCCTGGCGATTGGCGAAGTTGCGGTTTCCTGGCTTGAATGGTAGTCTGGGGGTGCAAGCCACGCGGGACCGCCAGGCTCTATTGAGGGATCTAATCAAAGCAGAATACGACACTGCCTGTGGAGGCGGCGCGCTGTGGACGGTTGGGCAAAGATGGATGCCAATAGATCGAAGCAGCCAATTTAGTGGGAGGCGAATAGGGGCCCGCGAGGTGAAGACAGACCTCTGAATGGACGGGCAGAGACGGCGAGTAGAGGAGACGCCATGCCGAGTCTGCAGCGGACTGGCTGGCCAAAGACATGTGGTGGGCTTTCATCTCCCAATGCGAGAATTGACACATCAGCCTTCGAGCGAGGTGTGGCGGATGGGTGGGCTTGACTGGCGGCGGACGCCATCGTCAAAGGAGAATGTGCGAGTGGAGGAGGAGGATGGAATGGCTGCAGATGGCGTCAGGCCCCTTCCGGGCTAGATTACTCAGGTGAGAACATGTTCCCAATCAGGACCGTTACGTTCAAGGTAGGCCCGCAAGCCGCTCAATTAGGCGTTACCGTACCTGAACCTATTGCCCGCTAGGAACCACTTAGAACGGGCTTCGTCCGTTTTTCTCTCCTCCGTTGCTAGAGTCTCCATTCCGTGTAATTACCCTCCTGGGTACCTACATTAGGCACTGCTAGCATGAGTTTTCGACGCCTTCTCCAGTCACCAGACCGAACTGAACCAGCCTTAAACAGATCAGCGATGCTAGCAGGGCCTTAGGCACGTTGATGTTTTTTTTATCCGCAGCCCACATGTTGCGTAGGTAGTTCCGTTCGTACATGCACCCCGATACGACGAAGAAGTCATCTGTCATCATCCGTCCGGGCAAATCTTTCAATAGCCATTGCGCACCGACGACGTACCCAGGTGAATGACCTTGGCCCCGATCCGTGCTTACTAGCTAGTGGAATGCATTGCACGGAAGGATTTTCTGCCCTTCTGCTCTCACTCAGCCCTGCAGAGCTGAGCTAGGGAAAGCTCACATCTACTCTTCTTATGTTTGTCTTTGTCATGGGATACAACATCGGGAATCCCTTCAATAGGTAAGCTCCCTCAGCCTTAGGCAGCTTTGAGGAGTAAGACCGTTCCGAGGGCCTCAACAGAGCACGAGGAGATACTACGCCTCGTCCGCACCCGATAGGAATTATTATTATCGATTCCTACTATAGGCAGGGAACTTACCGTGTGTACCTCCTCACGCATACTTCAATATTACTACGACAGAGCATGTTGTGTCGCACCACAGGTTCATACATATTGGTTTCGCCGAGGCACGGACGGCAATTGTCTGTGCCACGACGGCAGTCCATGGACCACGTTGAGAAACAACCCACGAGATGGCGGTCGTAGTAGTGGTGATGCTGCATGAACAATTATCGCCCGCAGCCCACTCATTTCCAATTCTGCACGACAAAGATTCCGGGTGGCTTGCTCTATTCTCCTTTTTGGTTCCTTCATTCCCGATGTCCCAATTGACGCCGGCTCTCGATGCCACCTCAACCTCTAGCTACCTTAGCTCTTGGCTAGCCAGCAGAACAATAAGCAGCCACATCATCGACCCTACTGGTCGACGCAACAACACAGCCTCGACTAGCTGAACAAAATAGGACCTGTGCAATGCCCTCAGCGCTAATCGCGTACAACCGAGTCACCGTTTGGTGGTGGGTGTGAAAGGATGGATGTGGCTACCGGTTCAGGTGGCCATCCAGAATGGAGAGGCCCCTGTCCGCTGGATCCATCCTCCACTGTGCTGTCGCCCTACGGTTCGTCGGCAGTAAGGACTTTAGGGTGGGCTGCACTAAGACATTAATCCACGCTACTCTAATGCACAAGTATTCACATTCTTCCAGCGCCTTCCCTGTGTGAACGTCGTCCCTTTAGAGCCACCGCAATGACTGTCTACGATTTGCCCTTCCGACAGGGATCTCCCAAGGTGTGCATCAAATCCCCATCTTCTCCATCTCCATCTGTTGCTGGACAAAATCTGCCGTGTGGAATAGACTGCCAAGGCGGGAATTAAAACTCCAGAGTGAGTGAAGATCGTCGCTCTCGAGGCACATGTAGCACGACCACACACTGCAACGACGTGAGCCGCGACGCAACCCAAGGGGATGAGAAAATAGCTCAGCAGCGTAGCATCATGACTAACTGCATAGTGCGTCCATACACATTTGTATTACTAGTTCATAAATATGTGCATTTCTCGACGCTAGAGGAGGCGGCCATCTTACCATCCTACCCAAGAGGCCACACGCGACCCTCCATCCCCAAAGATTCCAATATTGACCCCACCAAGCACCACCAACTCCACAGCCAGGGCGGAATAGGAAGCAAACGGACGCTCACATATCACATCTCCACGCCAGAACAAGCGCGAGGAGCGCAAAAGGCAGACTAAGTGCGTGAGAACCGCGTAATGTGACCAAAATAACGGCTACGAGTGCCATACTAGACGAGGTCTGTTCCATCGGCTTGAATAATATCTTGTTTTTGCACATTGAACACCGCATGTACTCATCATAACACCTAAAAATAGTCTGAACAATAACAGAGCAGTCATTTTTCTTTGAATGAGAAATGACCCCCTTGCCTGCAGTGCATGGTGCAAATGCACTGCCCAAAATGCATCTGCCTGACACGGCTCACATGTCAACCAATGCTGTGTGCAAGCATTCCTGGAGAGAGCTTACACCGATCCGTGCCAGCGTGGATCTTGGGACCAACAATACCCCAAAGTACGCTCCTGGTGGGTTTATTAAAAAAACATACCTGTGGAATTCAGCTCGGTCTGCAGAATGAGCAGGGCTCCCAGCGAACTTCCCTGGCACCGAAGTGTCAATAATAACACCCTTGATCTCAAAAGTCTCTCTAAGTGTCGGGAGATGCCACTGCAGAAACCCCCAATGTAACAGCAAGATGTAATCTCGGGCCCGAGCTTCATGGCAGCGTATCAAAGGAGGGCACATGTGTAACCGCGCAAAACTTTAAACAACAAGAAGGAAGCATAATTTCTAAATTTACATTTCGTCGGAATAAGCCTAAAAAAATCTAGAAGTCAGCCTCTATCTGAATTCCGAGGGTGGAGATTGCCATTTAGTAACGAAAATCGTTTGTGTTCGTAGCACAGCAGTCCAGTACGAAAAATTGCATGTGAGACGGAAAAAGGCACACATCATGGGATGGTGTGTCTCTTATTAGTAAACAAACAAATTGCCTCTAAGTCTCGTAATTTCCTAGATTGATCCTGAGCCGGCCACTTTCATAGAAAATGAGAATACTTTGAACGACGACATGATGCTGTGTCCTATTTCATGAGTTATGGAGGTTTTGATCGTTCGGGGTTTAGGCTCGTCCTTGACGTGGAATCATAGCTACCTGTTGGGTGTACATTTACTGTGCTAGATATGAGTGTTCATTTATGGCTTGGTGAATTCTCTTCGAGTATATGTGGTTCGGGGCGTTACTTGGAGGGGAACATGTTTAAAATGTGATTAGCGTTTCTCGGGTAAAAATTGAAGGCTTTACAATCAAGACCATTGTACAATTCTTTTATACTCCACGCATTAAAGGTTATGACCACAGGTGTAAATTTGAAATCTAGTCAAGAATCCTTTATTAATCTTTTGAGATAATTTTCATTATTTCTAACCCAACCATGCCGATCCCATCACTGTCGATCGCCGGCCATGTACAGGGTAGGTCATCAGACATGGCCGTTGGGTGCTAAGTAGCAACTCACCACTCCCTCAGGCAACTAAGCATCCTCTAGTAAACCAATTACGCCCCGCCTGATTGTCCGCTACAGGCCCGTAAACAGCCCACCGGGCAATTAGCTGAAAGTGACGTTATGTACGGCCTTGTTGACACGGTTTACACCTTCATCATCTGCACTTCTTTTCAGCTCCCCTCCCCGCCGCGCGTTATCGAGGAAGCCTAGAGTAAAAGTCTTCGCGTACACGTGTTAGTTGGAGACATAGCCTTTCGTAAAACACCAAGGCCATTTCCAATATATATCTGGCCAAGCTCTTCCCAGCTCATAGCCATGCAGGGACCAGGCTCTCGACATTCACCCCTGCAACGATCAACCACAAGCAACTGAAGGGTTTAAGACCAAGCCTACATCCATCATTACGTCTCGTCCAAGAGACGGAAATCAAGATCGCCGAGAGCCATGAAGCCCATTACTTCAGCCCTCGTCACCTCCCTTCTCCTCGCTGGGCCCGCCGCGGCATGGGGCTCATCCGCCAAATCCAAGAATGCCATCCTCTTATCCAACGTGCAGAGCCTCACCCTCCGCGGCAACGGCGCAAAGACCACAAACCGCCGCGTCTCGGCCGTCCCCCAGCTCAAGTGCGTCTCCCACCCGGACCTCTGCCGCCACGTCAACATCGACGTGATGCGCTGCACCAACCAGGGCTCCTCCTACGGGACAGAGGACATCGAGTGGAGCTGCGCCGCCTCCGTCCCCGACGAGTTCCAGCTGGGCGGCACCAACGTCATCTGCGAGGGTTATGCCAGCTCCGACGACCCCTATGTCCTCAAGGGTAGCTGTGGTGTCGAGTACACCGTCACCCTCACCAGCAAGGGCGAGAGAAGATATCCAGACCTCGCCGATACCATTAAGAAGCAAAGTGAATCCTCGTCCAACACCGTGTTCTGGTCAATCTTCTTCATTATAGCAGTCTGCATCGGCCTAGCAGCACTTCTCCGTCATTCAGAGAACGCAACACCGCAGCAAAGGCGTCCTCGCACTAGAAGAGGAGGAGGTGGGAGCGGTTGGGGAGGAGGTGGAGGAGGCGGCGGAGGTCCTGGTGGATGGAACCCAGGTTGGGGTTCTGGCGATAACGACGCACCTCCCCCGTACTCGGAACCAAAACCAATCTACAACTCAGCCTCATCCTCATCCTCTTGGAGGCCTGGATTCTGGTCTGGTATGGCTGCTGGCAGTGCTGCTGGATATGCAGCTGGTCGACGTGGTGGTGGGAGCTCCTCCCGTGGGTCAACTTACACAGACAACAGCTGGGGTGGTAGGAGTCATGGGGAATCGTCGTCCTCCCAATCGGGACGATCAGGGCCCTCCGGTGAAACTCATGAAAGCACTGGGTTCGGCTCTACCAGCCGCAGGTGATCCCTTCTTGTAAGGCAAAAAGCCACATTTGGAGGGCACGGCGTGAATGATACAGCTTCTCTTCGGTTGCCTATTGCTAGCAAAGCTCGAGTTTGAATTACAAGATGTATAAGTGCATAGTTGCCCCCATATTATCCAACACCAATAAACTCCGACTGCCGGTTTGCGTTGATTGCAACTAACTTGCGACAAATAATATGTACATGGAGAGTACCACGCATCTTCCTTCAGTAGAAGGATGCTTGCTCTTTCCTTCCTTTCTTTTTATTAAAAAAAGTACACGAAGCCAGATGTGAGAACCGCCATCATGGGTCCTTGCAGCTCTGGTGAGTCCCAACGCCTCAACAACGCCGCCAAATATCCTCAAACATTGTTGTTCGAATAAAAACCAACAATAATCTTCTTGGGTTGTAAGGGGTAGCTAGAAATAGGGCGACCCGAAGGTTCATCGGTAGTAGTGCCTTGGGTCGAAGAGACTACAACTGGGGCTGTAGTTTAAATAGAAATCGGTCGAGTGGTTGTATACAAAGGATGAGGATTGATGAGTTAATAATCGTGTTGGTGATGAGCCTGCATAACGTCCATCTTGTCAAATGACCTAGCACAAGATGGACACTTTCGCATACGGTTGCTGATGCGGTCTTCGATACAGCCTTTGCAAAAGAGATGACCACATGTTTTTAGAATTCTGTTCTTGAACTCCTTTTCACATATTGAGCAGAGAGCAAAACGCTAGAAATTATGACATTAGCCAACAATTCTCTTTCAATGCGAGAAAAGGTCACGGGAAAAAGGAACAAACTTACCCTCAAACCCTCCATTTCTACTGAATGGTTGCTCAGCGCTTGCGTCTTCCAGTAGTCACGATCTTTTTGCATCGCATCAACACGCACTTTAAGCCGTTCCGCCTCTGTCTCTTGGGCTGTATTCCGCTCCTTCACGGCTGCTGCGGCGGCGTCCTTGGACTTCACCAAATTGGTCAGATCGATGACTTGCTTGTTTAGAGCTTCAGCACGGCGAATAGACTCCTGGCTACTGTTCTCCGTCTCCTTGCTCTTCGCTAGCAATTGAGCATTGGTCTGCTTCAGATCTGCCATTTGCTTCTCCAAATTGCTGAGGAGTGTTCGGTTTTGAGATTCCAAATCCTTTAGTTGAGCAATAATTTCAGCACTCTTTCCGTTTTGAATTCGAAGAGACCGAATCTCATTATTCCTTGTGTCAGCATCCTTTCGGGCAGCAAAGTACTTTTGATCAGCCTTGCTCTTCTCTGCCGTCAAAACCGAAACGCGTTCCTCGAGCGCGGCGAAGTCCATGATTTTCTTCTGTGCCAAATCCTTCATTTTCTTGTATGCCTTCTCAATCGAGGGGAGCTCCTGATTGATTGATTGGAAGTCAAGCAGCAACTTCTTGTATTTGGCTTGTAGATCCTCATGCGATAATTCTGTGACATCGCTTGACTCCGCCCCTTCCTCGTTGGCTGGGTTCAATCTGGCAATTTCCGACTCAAGGGCTGAGATTCGATCGTCCTTGGCGGCGGCGAGCTCCTTGATTTGTTCCAGAGCAATCCTGTCACGCTCCATGTGTGCTTTCCGCTGGGTATTTTCGGCCAAAATCTCATCACGAGCGGACCGAACCCGTGTCAAGTCGTTGTCGCGAGTTACAATCTCCGCTTCTAGCTCCTGGGTGATTTGATTCGCATCTGTTTCTAACTGAGTCCGGAATGCGGTTCTCTCTGCCTGGAGCTTCTCTGCCTCTTCTCGTAATTGCTTATTCGTGGCTTCAAGATTGTTGATCCGTTTAATGAGATCCTCGTTTTGGATTTTGAACTGTTTGAACACATCCGTACGAATGTAATCCTCGTCAGTTAATGCATCGCGCCGAGCCTTCAATGCTGAATTCTCGTCTTGTAGCGTTTTGACCTCTGCCAGAAACTTGTCGATCTGCTCCTTTTGTTTCGCTGCAGCTGCTGTTGCCTCCTCATATTTCATCAGGATTTCCCCATGGTTGGCATTGCCGTTGGTTTCTCTTCCGTCTGCACCATTGCCTGCACCGGAAGCTGGTTCTGTTACTTTTGCAAATGCTTGTTGCTCAAGCTTTTGCACCTGAACACTTTTAGCACGATCCAACTTCTTCTCAGCCTTGAAATACCGGAGCGTTGCCGCATTCAGTTGCTCCGACAGCTGCTCTTTCTCGCTGCTGAGACGGTCGAGTTTCAAGAGGTATTCCTTCTGAGATGCTAAAAGCGCAGTGATTTTGGCCTCTAGTTTAGCACCTTCGGGCGACAACTCTCCACGATGCGCTGCGATTCGGTTCAATAAGGACTCGGCTTTCGATTTAATGTTTTTCCCTTTGTCTTGTAAATGTTTTTGAAAGTCATGAAGGTCCTTGAAGGTAACACCAGTCAGATAGCGGCCATCTACAATTGTCGCGCGTTAGTCGAGATTGATCAGATGTACGAAGTCCGGGCGTTTCTCGCCCCTGGATGAAATTATGGGGTAGAAATACCTGAGGGAGTTGGATTCGACGATATGGTGGACTCGGCCAAGAGTTGCAACTCCTCAAGAACCTATCGAGGTTAGCGTACAGCACATGCCTCAGAAACCTTGAGCAACATACCTGCAGCCACCAAGCATCGATGATCCGGAGGTGATCATCGTGATGTACTGATCGCTTATGCAATTCCTCGAGACGTGATTCCGCAGTCGACGCTCTACGACTATATTCCTGCATTTGTCGATAGATGGCGCCTTTTGTGTATGACTATCACCTAGTGTCAGTCCATTGTTTGTCTCAAAATCAAAGAAACGCGCTCGGTTATGGGCCTTGTTTCGCAGTGGTCAAAAGGAGAGAAAGAAGACGAGAAAACGCGAGGATATGCATGATTTCAAACGCGCGACTTCGAGTGGGATGTTTTTCTGGGTAGACAGAGCAATCGATCCGCTGATCTAGTTGGCATCAGAACACGAGAGGATAGTCGTGTCATCACCCCACCCAAAAGAAGGGTACGCACAGCGGACAGGGAGGATGAGAAAAAGCAAAAGTGGCTGGTCGGTGCGGTTTGGGAGTATGGCATCGATGACCATCGGAGGCGGAGGGGGATTGATTGTTGAGGGGGCAAGCGAAGGGTTGGAATTCAAATGCTTACCTCGATCCAGCCTTCCTCTTTCATTTCAGGGCCATCATCCTTGGTCCTGGTACCGTTCACCGCGACTCGCTTGCTGGGTGGCGCGAGCTCGTCGGTGTTGATTGCCGGTCTCTTCCTGTCCTCCATCTTGGAAGTCGTGGATGGACGGGGTGAGGCAGTTGGTGTCGTGGCCACAGGCATGAGAAGACGTGCGCGGAGCTGAGCCAGAAACCGCCGGCAAGGAAATTAAAACGCGGCTATCGTGACTGGGAGGGCCTTTAAGCAAAATCCCATCTCAACACCTGGCGCGCGGGCGGTCATGAACTTGGGGCGGGGCGTAATGCGTGATGATGATAGAGAATGTTGCGGTTTACTAAGGAGACTTTTTCGAGGTTGCAGAGTCGCAAACCAGAATGCACGAGTCTCCACTCTAAAAGAGGCTTAGTGTAGACGCTAACCGAATCTGGCATCCCTTATCGTGATCACTTCCTGTCGGGTAAACTTCGCAGCTCTTTTCTATCAGTGGGGCGGGAAACCAAAAGCTAATGAATCTTTCTGTCCCGCATCACATTTTCAATTGTCGCATTTGGCTCCCATCTCGCAAATCCTGCGATAATGAGTTGTATACCTCATCCTGAAACATGAGCTCAATGTTCAAAAAACGTAGTGGCCTTGCCTTCAAGCCCAAGCTTCCTGTCGCAAGGCCACGCCCAACCGCAACAACCTCACAACCACCCAAGCCTGCCGCTGCTGAGGCGCAGATCACCCCTCCGCCATCAGACGTGCCTTCTCTCAACAGAAGTGAAATCGCGCAACCGGAAACCTCTGTATCTGAAATCTCAAGCCCCGATACCCCAGAGACGTCATTGGAGCCCATCCAAGAGCCAGCCGCCAGCCATCCCGCAATTGCGACTCTGCCAAACCCATCACCGGATCTGCCGCCAGCCTCTGAGTCAGACGATCACCCATTGGCCGCCGAACACACAGCACCCCCGCCTCACGCTCTTCCGAGACAAGATACCTCAGAGACATTACCCGCCAGCAGAAACCAGGCTGATGACCAACGACCGCAACCGGCAGCCGAATATGCCACTCCTTCCAGTACTCTACAAGAGCCTGCTGAGGTGCCACCAGCCGAGGCCGCCATAACGCCGGGCGCAAGCGAGGCCTGTGAAACCCTGCAGCCCACGCCACCATCTTCAGTCACCAGAAGAAAAAGGACGACGGCAGCCGCGACGGCCGAGGCAAGCGACAGCACCGCAGTCCCAGCACCCAGGAAGCGACAACGAAAGGCAACCCAAAATGAAGACGACGGCGCAAAAGAGGCACCCGCGCGAAAACCGCGCCGTCCCCGGGCCACCACAGGGGAGGCCGGGACTAGAACACCAAGGCGTGCCCGGTCTCTGACACCAGAGGATGCGGAGAACCAGGTGGTTGACCTACAGAAACTAAAAATGTCCGACCTTACCCGCGACCTTCATATAGGCAAGAAGTTCAGCAGACACGACGAGCTTAGAGAGCGGGAGAGACAGGCAAGGATGAAGGGCAAGTCCAGGACCGAAAGTGAAGGGCCCGAAGCCGAAGGGGAGAAGGCCGAGGCAAGCGGCTCTGCTTCGAACAGCGCCGGAGCAACCCCATCAAATCCCACGCCAAGCGCGCAATCTCAGGCGGCCGCAGGCCCTCAGTTTCGCATCGTGGATGGTCAGATCGTCCTCGACCAGAGTTCACTGGTCATGGACCGACACGCTCGGGCCGTTGCGACGCAGGGCGAAATGGAAATGGTGGAGGAGAACGACTTCACCCGGCTCATCACGAGCAGCTCCTTCATGAACACATCCAAGCTAAAAGGACCCAACATCTGGACGGCAGAGGAGAC